CCCCCGAGTTTATACCAGATTCATAATAGCGTAGAGAACAATTTTGACGAGTACATCTGTTCTGCATCGATGCTATACGAGAAAAGCTGTTGCCAAACATTTACATTACAGATGACGGTAACACGTACCACGTTAGAGTAAAAGTCGGCCGAGCAGCAACTTTTGCATGCGCAGTTCTCAACGAAAATAGGACATTTTTGCGCGAACTGTTACAAAATCTTATTACGATTAGCTCTAGTCATGAATTCTCTTTGGGTTATAGGTATGCCAAAGCCGACGACAGCAGCAGTGGTGACAACAGCAACGGTAACAGCAGCAACGGTGACAGCAGCAATGATGACAGCGTCAACCAGTAAGTGTTAGTTTGAATGATTAGCACTTCATGTAGCTAGTCAAGAAAGGATTGGCCACAGGAGATTTGAAACATTTGGTTTTGAAACTCCGAACTATTTCAAATCTAGACAAATAAGGCGGATTCTAGCTCACAAAAGACTTTTCGAAATGAAAAGTGACTTTTCTACAGAGTCAAACTATAATAATTTCATTTCTCAAAGCTCAGGAAAAATGAATTGATTGCTGTTAGGGATGTGCAGCGTCGGTGTACTGACCACCGACTTGCACCGAAAGTGTGTCCAGTGGAGCACCGACTACACCGGCACTGTTCCCCAGTAGAGCACTGACTACACTGTAAAAAAAAAAGCGCGTATTAGTAAACTCTGGAAAAGGGTTTATAATATTGATAAATGCTAAAAAGGGTATATGAAAGGGTTTACTAATCTACGCCTATTTTTTACAGTGTACACCAACATTGCACATCCCTAATTGCTGTTTGATTGATTATTTTCTCCGATTCTGACAGTTGAATACGACGACTGGGATGCTTTTTCACATAAGAGTGTTTTGCTCAGTGTAACGAACTTAATTAATACTCGTGGTAGGGATATCCGGATATATAGAATTGTGTATATGCCGATATAAGATAGTGGATGATAAATTGTGGAGGACTGCAAGTATTATAACTAACAATGTCTGGGTAATACCCAATAGTAATGATTTATTTTATAAATAGTTTATAATGAACAAAACAAATAAGACAACAATGCCGCTAATAATAATATATGTATGCATTACACACAGCAATTACACAATAAGATTCTTTGTACACACACTAATCCTATGTGTATGTTTCTCAATTCAAGTCAAGTCTCACTATTTTCCGATTACGTTCTACTACTAACTATTTCTAGCGAACTCCACACTAAGTTTAAATGTGTCGCATGTGTCGTGATTTGCGGCACATTCAAGTGCGACACGATGTGCTCTTTGTGACATATTATCTCCAGCGATGGCACAACACATTTTGTACGACACATTCTGAAATCTCAAGCAGGTTAGATGTTAATATCTGTTCGGTCTTGAGTTGGTCTAGTTTTGTACCAGATCATTTCAGGGTAGTCCTACCTCGATCAATCATCAAAATAGGCATGCTCGTGACTAAGTAATAATTGAGAAGTAATCTAAAAATATTTGAACGAAAAAACATCATCTTCGTATGTTCGATTCGATTCTCTATATAGAGCCTTGTACGCAAAAGAAAAGGGTGAATCGATAGTCGTCACACAGAACGAGACAAATTTATTAGTGACACATTCTGCTGCGACATATTTCTGGCACTGAACCTGCGACACTATAACTCGCAACGCATATATGCGACACATTTTAATTTAAAGTGTCTTTCCACGAACAACTCAGAACTAATAAATGCTCTCTTATTTCATATATAGCGCGAGCTTATATATCAGAGAGAGAAACAGAAAGAAAAAGATAGAGAGAAGGATAACATACTGTTCAGTGCGAGATTATGTGTTGTCATATACAATGTTGTCTATTAGCGATGTAAATTCAATTGCATCACGGCCATATGTTCGTTAGCTCTATGACTTATAAGCGGACGTCCAGCGGTTGCTGTAACCCCGTATTTATTTTAGTCCTAAACGAGGGATGTACTTCTTGGAACATCGATGACTTGTTCACGAACGTCCGTCACCTGTTGCGACCCTCTATTTGTCTCATCCTATAGGAGTCACGTGTTACTTGGCACACTCAGTCTGTGGAGTGTGTTTTGATATTGATTTATATTGCATCTATAATAGATAGATCAGATGTACTAACAGGCTACCTTTTGCGTCTGACCTGATCGCCTGGGCTGGATTAGCTTGTCCTTCCCCAGAGCCGACCAAAACTAAAACGCCGGCTTACTGGCCTACTGCAGTTTGTCAAATTACAGGAGGTCGGCTGACATTTGCGCTGGTGATAGGCGTCCAGTTATCACCGCTGAAAAAATCAAGGGAAACAAATGTATGGAAGTGCCGAGTGCTGTAAGTGATCTGATTAAATGATTTTTTGTCCACTATGGAAGCAGTTCCATCGTGTTTCACATTTAAATCACGTAGGCATCGCGCTGAAAACTTTATTATTTGCCCCATAATTTTACTAAAATCTAACTGATTTCACAATTATTATACATTACTCGATCGATTAATGCCAGTTCTGGAAAGTTCTGCACGGTACATCTCTTTAAGATCCTCCCCACCACAGGAATTGATATTGGATCCCTGCCAACCAATCGCTTTGAACATTGTTTGGATGTCAATCATCAGTGTAACCGATCATGAAAAACGTTTCAACCAATCGAGGCTTTGCGTCCAAGAGAAAAATCGAAACTAGCCAAAAGTAGGTGATAGTAAGAAACATTTTTCTTCTGTCTTAGACAGTTTGAAGCTATTTCGCCTGGATTTTTCAAATTCTCCTTCGTTTTGCAGTCACCTCAACAAGACGACATCCAGAAAACGCTAAATTGAATTTTAGGGGAAAATCTCCACGTAGAAGCAAAAGATCGCAGAAAGCCAACACCAAATGCTTCATTTTCCAGTGGCTACCGAACAAAAAGGAATTTATTGATCCACTATTCGAATTTGAACATTAAGAAAATTCTTCCTTAGTAAGCGTGGCTGTCGCAGTTAAGTTAGTCTAACTGTAATTAGTACACCTAAGTAAATCTTTTATAGTCGATAGTTAAACTAACTACTTGCGTTATAGAAATATTCAAGGGACACCGACCATCAACTGTATTTTGACATGGATAGTACTTACTTGTCACAAAAGTTCTTTCTAATTCTTCTGCCCTGTCCTCCCCTCTGTCTTGTCTACCTTCTTTCTTTCATGTTGAGGGTGGCCCTTCTGCGGAGGGAATGAGCTTCCTTTAAGTAGATTCAAGCCTATTCTTTGAAAAAGTTATAAGACGCTTGTTGGATTGACTATTGGCTTGTCCAATCGAATCGAAGAATTTTCTCATCCTTTTCCATTGGAGAAATACTATGATCTGTTCAACTACCTGTAGCTAAGGAAAAATCTGGCGAGTTCGGTTGAGGAGGAGCTCACATCGTTTGCTGCCTCGATCGAGTCCAACATTGATTCAGTTGAGTTTCAGTAGAAAAACATTTGAGACTTCATCACCACACCAAATAAAGAATGAATTAACAGAGAACCGCTGCAGGAAGCGGTGAGGGCTGAGGGAGGCGTTCATCAATTTTTGACGTGATGGGGTTGCCATGGAAACTGTAAAGAATGTGAGAAAGTATTCAACTTCGCCGGGAAACGCAAAAATTTCCAAGACTGAGGAACGTCATTCAGTCCCCGTCCCAGTCTCGCCGGCCCTGCTCGGGATGCAGCCATTCGTTAGTAAAATCCCAGCGATGAGATAGTACTTCTGCATAATTATACGCGTGCTAAAAACACTACTTTTGTTTCGGAATAGCTCAATGTAATACTATATTTACTGGTCAAACGACCTATTCAACTGGCTCTTACCCTGTGTCTCTAAAGGCAGTCGACGTCAATAGCGACGACAAACTCGACATTATTGTCGCAAACTACGGTTCGAACAATGTCGGTGTTCTCCTCAACACAGGCGACGGCACGTTTTCTGCTCAAACGATCTATTCAACTGATTCTGGCCCTTACTCTGTGGCAGCAGCCGATGTCAATGGCGACAACAAACCCGACATTATTGTCGCAAGCTTCGATTCAAACAATGTCGGTGTTCTCCTCAACACAGGCAACGGCACGTTTTCTGCTCAAACGATCTATTCAACTGGCTCTAGCCCGGTCTGTATGGCAGCAGCTGATGTCAATGGCGACAGCAAACCCGACATAATTGTCGCAAACTACGACTCGAACAATGTGGGTGTTTTTTTGAATTATTACTGATAGGCAGACTGTATTCTGTTTATTCAATAACATTCCCAGTAGTTTAAGAGTTTTACCAAAATCTCATTATATTATTTAACAGTCATTTCATGTAAGTTGTGACCGAATCCTGCGGTGGGTGCTCAATCTGTATCTCCGATTTGACACATCTTAACCTATGTTATTGAACTGAATTTAGAGGATTTTTGACACAAGCCGATTGAAAAAAGATTGAATTCTTGATTATATATTGCATTTTTACTGATGGAATGCCAATTTACTCAATATTTTCAATATTGCTATAAGAAGAGTGTGGGTGTGTTTGAATAGCAACCATGACGCGTTTCGACTTTCCTTAATGATCTCATGGGGTAGTTTTATCTGGCATAAGTGTTCCATGAGTCGAAAAATCACATATATGGTTTTCATGTTGCATTCCTTTGTAGGATGTTTTCTGATTCAAAGTTGAATTGTAAGTGAGAGATATCATTGACGGTTCGTTTATATAAGCATGTGGAAAATATTTGAGAATCAATGATGTTGAAAATGACTGATCATTACTTAGGAAGTATTTTTAACTGCATATTTGCAGAGAGTGTCCTGAGCTTGCTTGTTTCTAAAAAATAGCTGATGAGAGTAAGGAGCTAATAATTTTATTTTCTGTATTGGTATGATGTGCTAGTTTATTGGAAATTTGAACGATGAGATTATTTTATGGTGACAGTTGTAGGTGTGTAATCATATGCACATTTGTGACGATGCTGTTATTGAAGGAGCTAATTTGGCGGTGATCTTGTGTCTCTTAGTTGCAGGTCTGTTTTTTTTTCAGATATACTGTTACATACATTTCATATGTTCTTTTCAATTGAGTGATGTTTTATTTATTTATAAAGGACAACATAAAATTCTGAATCAGTTAAGTTAGTGGCTGGTTAGCGCTGCTTGAGAATTGTGTTTGTTTATCAATCTCAAGTTGCGTTTTGCTCTGTTGGTCGCTTCTCGCGCCTGGAATATGTTTTTTCATCTTGGCCATCAATTCTTGTTTTAAGTTGTGATTTAGATAAGTTCCAATGATCAGAACAGTATTCATGATCTCTGTTTGATGAAAAGTGCTACTCCACAATTCGCGAATATGTCGATGACTGTGTCCGAGTCGTTTTTCATGTCTTT